AGGGACAGGGGCTGGGGAGGGAGCAGGGCCAGGAGCTGCAGGGGCAGTGGGCACCCCGGGCAGAGCTGCTTCCACGGCTCCAAGTTCTGACTGAGGCTTGCACTTCTTAAAAATGGCAGAGAGCTGGTACCGAGCAATGGTGTGGAATTTGAGAACGAAAACCTAACGGGAAGAGAAATTCGAGGGAGAGGACAGAATTATTTCTCTTCAACAGGCCAAATACTGCTCAGATCACAGTGAAATAAGATAGGACTGACACGAGCTGCTCAAGTCATGCTGCTTTTCTATGAGGTTGGCATCCAAGGAATTGCAGCTTTTGCCATTACTTCTGATGAAACACAGCTACTTTTGTACCAACCCAACAAAACTGGTGGAAGGCTGGTAACATCTGGACACCTCCTTTGTGCCAGGTGTAAAGGAAAAGTGCTGGTTTACTCCCAACACCATCTCCGTTTTGCATGTGCAGAGTATGGCTCAGGAAGGCTGAGTGACTGGCCTGACAGGCAAGGCCTAGATTTCACCCAGGACTACAGGCCTCATCCCACCAGGGCCCCGCCACCACCCCCAGGGCTCAGGAATCACATCCCTCATACTCTGGGTGTCTCCCCAGAGATGTCCACAGCCAGTCTAGCACTTGGGTACTATGGCCCCAGAAAATAACTCTCCTAATTACTTGCCAGGAAGTGTGCTAAGAGCTTTCAAGTGCTGCCTGATTTAACTCCACAGCGATCCTATGAGGCAGATACCACAACTCAGGTGAAAAGATGAAAAAACTGATGCACAGAAGTGAAGCATCTGGGGACCCTGGGTCTGAACCTAGGTGGTCTAACTCCTGGGATCGAGCCTAGCAATCGAGCCGCCCCTACAGCACTGGTTCAAGTTTAGCCACAAGTCGGGCATGGTGGCTCACGCCTGTAATCCCAGCACTTTGGGAGGCTGAGGCAGGAGGATCACTTGAGGCCAGGAGTTCAAGACCAGCCTGGCCAACATGGGAAAACCGTGTCTCTACCAAAACACAAAATGTTAGTTGGGCGTGATGGCACATGCCTATAATCCTAGCTACTTGGGAGGCTGAAGTATGAGAATCACTTGAACCCAGGAGGCAGAGGTTGTAGTGAGCTGAGATCACGCCACTGCACTCCAGCCTAGGCAACAGAGCAAGGCTCTGTCTCAAAAAAAAAAAAAAAAAAAAGGTTTAGCCACAAAAGGATAGACTGCAGGATGGATGATACTCTCGGAAGAGCTGGTACCTCTAACATCCGCATCAGGACGTCTCTCCCATTGCCGCTCTCCTGCTCGCTCTTGGAACGGATGCAGTCCACCAGGTTCAGCAGGAGCTTGCAGGACATGGTCTGGATGCTGCTGGGCAGGGACTCATCGTCGATGTTCTTGGCAAAGAGCTGGACGGCGAGGGAGAGGTCGCTGAGGGGCAGGTGCTGGCGGACATGGTGTACGAGGTCAGCCAGCGTGCTGTAGGCGAGGGGCCTGCGGGCAGAGACCTCTGCTAGTGCTCATTCCCATGTGGCCATGCCTGCTCTGCCCCAGGAACACCACCACTGGGACGACACAGTTACACGGCCCGTTTTCCCCACATTACTCTCTCCCAGACACATGACGGAAGAGAGTTCAGGTTTTGTACTGATACCTCCATCTTTACCTTCCAAGCTAAAAGGTTAACTTTGTGCATGCCATAAAGTTGCTAACAGATGCTGGCACATACAGCTAACCCGAGGAGGAATACTACCAGCTTGATCATGCACTGAATGGGCTTTGTTACTCAAACACAAATAGGACAGGTCAATCGATCTTTATATATGATGACCACTTTACAGAGACACAGGCTATGAGTTTTTTCCCCCACTAAACACATGGACACCTGCCATGTGCCAGATCCTGGGCTAGATGCCAGGGACATCTCAGTGACCAGAGCCCCTGCCCTCAGGAAGCTTACTTACAGCAGAGAAACACACAAGTAAAGAAACAAGCTACACAAGTTAATAAGTGCTGGGGGAGATGTAAAAAGGACACATGAGAAAGATAAGTGGGGGGAGCTATTCTTAAACAGGGTACCAGGGACGGTTCCTTTGAGGTGGCATCTTAAAGACAAAAAGGGGCCTTAAGGCAAAAATCCAGGGAAATTTCCAGATGGAAGAAACAGGAAAGATAAAGGCCCAGAGGTGGTAACTGCCTGAAGTAGCCAAGAAGCTATAGGGGCCAGTGTGGCTGCAGCACACCAGGGAGGGCAGCTGTAGGGGCCAGCATGGCTGCAGCAGGTCAGGGAGGGGAGCTGTAGGGGGTGGCATGCTGCAGCAGGTTGGGGAGGGGAGCTGCAGGAGCCAGTGTGGCTGCAGCAAGTCAGAAAGGAAGGACCAACACAAGATGTAGAACAGATGGACAGAGCCAAATCACAGAGAAACTCAAATGCTACGGTCAAGAGTTTGGGTTTTGTCTAAGAACAACAGAAAGCTACTGGAGGGCTTCGAGCAGGAGTAACATAATCTAACATCCAATTCTAGGGAGGTTCAACCCCAAGTTACAAAAAATGCCTATAACAACATTGTCTACAGAAAACAGTGAGAAAATTGTACCATATTCAAAGGATCCTAAACATTTTTCAAAAGATCCATCACACCTTCCTTACTGGAAGCAAAATATGGCAAATATTGATCCATTTTATAATGTAAAGATGATTAAATGTTAATTTTCTGCTTTAGAAATAGTAACCATTATCACTTTTTTTTTTTTTTTGAGATGGAGTTTCGCCGTTATTGCCCAGGCTGGACTGCAATGGCGTGACCTCGGCTCACCACAACCTCCACCTCCTGGGTTCAAGCAATTCCCCTGCCTCAGCCTCCTGACTAGCTGGGATTACAGGCATGCGCCACCACACATGGCTAATCTTGTATTTTTAGTAGAGACGGGGTTTCTTCATGTTGGTCAGGCTGGTCTCAAACTCCTGACCTCAGGTGATCCGCCCACCTCGGGCTTCCAAGGTGCTGGGATTATAGGCGTGAGCCACTGTGCCTGGACACAACTACTTTTTTTTTTTAAGTGCAAGAAACAAAGATTATACAGACATACATTAAGATATCAGCAACATTACTCCATCCCCCTGTGCAGGACCAAACGGTTTTCTTCCCTTCTATCTTCCAGGTAGGTTACCACAAAAAAAAAAAAATTTTTAACAAAAAAAGATGCATTATACAAAAAGCAAAAAACAATAATAAAGTCAGATAAAGTTTTACCTAAAATTTAAATCAAGATGATTACTCTGATTTCTTCCTTTAAGCTAAAGAACAAAAGGTAATCTAAGGGCTTTCCAAAAATCCTGCAATTCTTGGCTGGGCACAGTGGCTCACGCCTGTAATCCCAGCACTTGGAGGCTGAGGCAGGCAGATCACCTGAGGTCAGGAGTTTAAGACCAGCCTGGCCAACATGATGAAACTCCTCTCTACTAAAAATACAAAAATTAGCCAGGCGTGGTGGTAGGCACCTGTAATCCCAGCTACTAGGACAGCTGAGGCAGGGAGAATTGCTTGAACCCAGGAGGCAAAGGTTGCAGTGAGCCAAGTTTGCACCACTACACTCCAGGCTAGGTGACAGAGAGAGACTGAGCCTCAAAATGAATGAATGAATGAATGAATGAATAAATAAATAAATAAATAAATAAAACAAAAATCCTGCAATCGTAAACCTAACAGGTATGTCAAGGCCCAACAGCCTATGTTCACTGAAACACTTGTAACATGAAGTGCCAGTAACTGATGTTCCTGGCATTTAACCAACCAGGTATCACTGGTTTAATCTCGTACCTTAGAGTCTCTCGGGCAGTATATCCTGAGCCAATTAGTATGGATTCATCAAACAGCTTGTCCATGCAAGGAATGAACTCTAGAAGACAAACATTCATTGCACAGATCACTAACAAAACCAATTACACATTAAATTACTTTATAGTGCTTTCAAAAAGTAGCTAGCCCGCAGTCTAATATGCAACCCAGGCCTGAAAAGGGACAGAGAGGAGACCAGAAAGGCACAAATGCTATTTTAGTCTAACACAGCAGCTCTACTAGGCCACACCAGCCACCTGCTGTCAAAGATGCAGTCAGGGTCATGTTCAGGGTCAGAGATCAAATTAAGAATAAATCAGCTTGGTGTCCCCAGGCAGAGATTCCACCTCTGGTACTTAACCACCCAGGCACATCCCACCGTCCTTAAACATTGCCACCACCCTCCCAACCAGTTTGGAGAAGGGAACGAGATCTCTTAAATGCTCCTTTACTACCCTGAAGCATACTAAGAAGACCTAAGAATGTTTCTCTATATAAATCACAAAGGTCCAGGCGTTTTTACAATGTTGTCACAGGTATGAGTCCCAGGTTACGGCTCCTGACTCCCCGGATGATGCTCACCAGAATCCCCGCCGGGGTTCCTCTCTTGCTCTATTCCTGCAGGTAGAACCACCCCTAAACTTACTCTCTGTGCCCTTGCAGGCCTGAACCTAACCAGGGTTCTATAGAAACAGCCGGTCACCACTCAGGGACAATTCAGGCTTCTGAGGATGTGCAGATGGGGCAGCGACAGCATGTCCACACTTCCCCTGGGGAGCTCTATTAATACAATCATCCCAAAAGATGTTCAGGTTCTGGAATAAGCCTGACACAAAGCCAGCTGCAGTAAGTCAAATAAAGTACACTTTCCACCAGCTCATAGCTATTGAGGGTCAAAGGCATAAAAGAAATGCAGACACTGAAATGTGCAAGATGCACATTTCTAGGTAATTCCACAGCCAGGCAGCACACGGAGGAGCAGCCAAACGGAAGCAGCGACAAGCAGGCCCTTCTGAGGTCAGAGGATGCAACGGGCTGGGCAGGCTGCAGTGAAGTGGCCAAGACGAAGGAGGCACAGAGGGGTGCAAAGGGCTCAGCTGTGATGTGGCAAACTGGCTGGGGAGGTGGGAACACCTCCAGCACAGGGAGGAGTGATAGGAGATTAAATTGTGCAACCACTACTTTCCAGATCCTCTCCATGACCCAGAATCGGAATCTCTAGGAAAATGCTGAACTTGTTAAAATGGCAGGTTTTCTCAAACCACTGGCTCTTTACAATGAGTGAAATGGGTTACCATTTGATACCGTTGTAGGTGCCAAAAAAGTAAAGTGAAGGGAAAATGCTGGCGGAAGTGGATGTTTTAACTGTAATACACAGTTAACATTTAACATGATTCTCTAAATGTTTCTTTCCACCAAAACGTTGAGATGTGATGCTAATGTCTATTTAAGTCTCAGGAACTACTAAAGGGCTTCAAAATAAAGCATCCTATAATACCTTGTATTAAAAAAAAAAAAAAAATCAAGCCAACTAGTAAACGGAGTTTAAAAAAAAGGGAAGACTAAAAGCTGAACCCCAAAAGTCTAATGTGATCAACCCCTGGAGAGCAGCAGCTTGGGAAGCCAGCAATCCTGGCTAGCGGCCGTGAACACTGATTAAAACCAAGCTCTATGCCCTCAGAAGGGGCCAGCTTGTGCAGTAATGGGAAGGAGGTGACCTGGTAAGCATGAAAAGGTTTTTTTTTTGTTTGTTTGTTTGGTTTTTTTTTTTTTCCTGAGGCGGAGTCTTGCTCTGTTGGTGAGAGGATCACTTGAGGCCAGGAGTTCGAGACCAACCTGGGTGACAGAGCAAGACCCCATCTGAGGATGTGCAGATGGGGCAGCAACAGCATGTCCACACTTCGAGACGGAGTCTCGCTCTGTCACCCAGGCTGAAGTGCAGTGGCGCAATCTCGGCTCACTGCAAACTCTGCCGTCCCGGGTTCATGCCATTCTCCTGCTTCAGCCTCCCGAGTAGCTGGGACTATAGGTGCCCGCCACCACGCCCAGCTAATTTTTTGTATTTTTAGTAGAGACAAGGTTTCACCATGTTAGCCAGGATGGTCTCAATCTCCTGACCTCTTGATCTGCCTCGGTCTCCCAAAGTGCTGGGATTACAGGCGTGAGCCACCACACCCAGCCAAAAAGGATTTTTAATGTGCTAGCAGTTCTATAAGAATCCTCATGCTACAAAGGTCCCCACCACATCTCCAAAATTCTTACTCATGGCAGGAGTACTGGAAAGAGGTCGGGCACAGTGGCTCACACCTGTAGTCCCAAGGTGTGACTGGAAGGCTGAGGAGGGCACATCACTTGAGGTCAGGAGTTCGAGACCAGTCTGGTCAACACGGTGAAATCCCCTCTACTAAAAATAAAACAACTAGGCATGGTGATGGGTGCCTGTAATTCCAGCTACTTGGGAGGCTGA